AAAGAAGTGAAGCATGGCCTGAGGGAGCTCTGGAAGAATCTCATGGCTCCCAGCTTCAAACCAAACCAGTCTGGCCACTGTGGCCATTTGGAAAATGAGCCAGCAGATGGAAAATTTCTGTTCTCTGTCTCTCTCTCTCTCTCACTTTCTCTGTAATTCCAACTTTCAAGTAAAATTAATATTTTTTTAAATGAAACTAGGTCCTTATTTCATACTAAACATATAAAAATAAAGCTATTAAACACTTGAATATGAGCAGTTCTCAAAAAGCTCACGGAAGGTGCATATTACAAAAAAATACTACGTATGGGGGATGGAAAAGAAGTAAATTTACACTTTAATTCTACTTCTTCAAACTATCTGAGGTTTTCTTATAGATAACCTGAAATTATAAAACAACTAGCGGAAAAGCTTCATGATAGGGTTTTGCGTTGATATTTTTTTAGTATGATCCTAAAGGCACAAACAACGAAAGTAAAATCAGATTAATGGGATGGCATCAAACTAAAAATCTTCTGCACAGCAAAGGAAACAATTAACCAAGTCAAGAGAAACCCGCAGGAACTCAAATAAGTGTTGGAGAGAATGTGGGGATAAAGTAGACTCATCTATTTGTCAGGAAAGGGAGGGATAAAAATTAGTGCAGCAAATGTGGAAAATGGTTTGGGGTTCCTCCAAAATTTAAAAATATGACTGTCACATGATTCAGTAACCTTATTCTGGGCCTGGATATAAAGAAACTGAAATCAATGTGTTGAAGGGATATCTGCACTTCCATGTTCACTGCTAATTATATATTGCCATTATTCACAATAGCCAAGACATGAAAATAACGTAAATACCCATCTATGTAAATGGATCAAATAAGTGCTACATATTCATAATACAATACTATTGAACAACATGGATGAGATTGAGTACATTATGCTAAGTGAAATAGCCCAGTCACAGAAAGACAAACCTCCTGAGTTCCTGGTAAACTCCAGATCACCACTTGCTGACCACTGCCATTGGGGTATCTGGTCACTGCAACATCATACTGTTGTCTCTGCTGCTTTCCCATGTCCGTTAGTCTCCAGGTGCCCCTCTGCTTGGCTTGTCCTCACCTGTTTCCTGGAATGTGCCCTCTTTGCTTCACCCTGCCTAATGATTCTCTGTTTAAACATGTCCTTACCCTATTCAGCCATCTCGATTCTCTTATTTGCTACTAATGGCATGATAAATTTGAAAATTCATGTAACATTGTGCCAGTTCAAACTATATAATGTACTGGATATTAAATTTTGTTAAATTGAGTTTGGACTTATATATATGATTCAATTAAAAAAAATAAGTAACATAGACTTGGGACAAATGACAACAGTAACTAATGACCACATTTTCTGTCTTTATCTCTGCTCTTATTTCTCCCCGTGGCTCTGTTTCATATGTCACATAGTTCGTGTTTCTGCTTTTGAAAAAGCTAGGGGAATAGTACTCTGCAGGGAAATTCAGAGATTTTATAAGCCTAGAGTTTGTACAAAAATGGTCACTAAAAATTAAAAAGAGAGCAAAGTGTATAAGGGAGGGAGTTAGACAGAAATTGGTGAGCTGGAATTTTTGGAAGCCCCATTTTACAACTTTATCCTTTCACCTGTCAATCTACTACACTTACCTTCCCAGGATATACCTGTGTCTCAACTGGGACCAGGAAAGAGAAGAAATCATGATGGTCAAATGGAAGTTACACTCCATGTGAAGACTTTACATGGTAAAACTTCACTCAGTTTGCTTGTTCAGTTAAAGCATGAAGCACTACCTCAAAACTGATCATGGGGCCCCGGCACGGTGGCACAAGTGGTTAAGGTCCTCGCCTTGCTCGCCCGGGATCCCATATGGGCGCCGGTTCTAATCCCGGCAGCCCCGCTTCCCTTCCAGCTCCCTGCCTGTGGCCCGGGAAAGCAGTCGAGGACTGGCCCAAAGCTTTGGGACCCCGTACCTGCGTGGGAGACCCGGAAGAGGCTCCTGGCTTTGGATTGGCATAGTATCGGCCATTGTGCTCACTTGGGGAGTGAATCATCGGATGGAAGATCTTCTTCTCTGTCTCTCCTCTCTGTATATCTGCCTTTCCAATAAAAACATAATAAAAATAAAATCTTAAAAAAAAAAAAAAACTGATCATGAGCAGGGAAAGATCTTTTGCCCCTGACAATGTTTAGGGATCCTTCTCATGCTTCCTCTCTCACTATCCTATCTTAGACAACTCTCCAGCCTACTTATGCGGAATCTCTCTCCATCCAGGATGGCGCACACTCACATGTGAATGTATGTTCATTCTCCCTCCTTTAAACAGATCCTGCTCTTGTGAAATCTATGAATGCCTCTGCCTTGAGTTCTTATCTAAGTTGGGGCAAGAACCTGGGATAAAAATTAAGATACCTAAGCCCATAAGAAAAAAATGTAAGAAAAATAGCATATTTGAGTCTGTATTCAAAGAACAATGATTGAAAATCAAGTTCCAAATTTATGCCTGTCTGTGAGTCTTAAAATTAGCCTCACGTATAAATATACCTGAGAGGAATTTGCCAACATTTGAAACAAGAACAAGGCAAGGTTCGAAGCAGCAGCTTTCCACCTCACTATAGCATCTAAAAGGGCCAGAGCCTGGGCAATTTCCATTTTAGCTCAAGTACTTGATGGTTCCCTTACAGAGGCAAATAAAGGGCAAAAGCCCAGCAAACAGAACCTGAATTGAATGCCCAGCTGGCAAACTGAGCAGGTGTTTGCCCAACAGCCTCTTCACACAAAGGCCACTGCATTCTGGTCCACTGTGGAGTGAAAGGTGAAATGCCTCTTAGCAAGTCTTGTGTGCAGAGCAGCACATGGCATAGAAAAGTTAACAAGGCAAAAACAGCTGCTCTAAAGCTGCACTGGGTGTTAATCAAACCATCTCATGAATAGCAGGGAGGCTTATATCAAAGACCTTAATTTGCCCCCAAGGTCCTGTTTTTACCTTGATTTAACAATTCCTGCTGATAGCAATCTGTTGTCCTTATCCCACACAAGGCCTGGAGCTTGGGGTTCTGCTGTTCATACCAGTACGTCTTTGGTAGCCCCTCAAGGAGAGAAGCTCCTCAGGAAGGAGGCAGAGCTTTATTTTTGTCCCAGTTAAAGTCCCTATCCAATCCATTAATAGCTAGAATAACCTTGGTCCAGGGCATTTCCTGGATAAGCTATAACCAGCTGGGGTTAATGAACTCTCCCTACCATTAATCCCTGAGAGAGGCCATTGGCCTGAATTGTTACTTAATTACTCTTCTGTGTACAGCTTCATAAAGCAATGAAATGCCTTCTTTCAGGAAGAAGGGAGATGGTAATGGGGGTCATCAGATGCCATTAATTTTACAAATAGTTTGCTAGAAACTACAGTATGTTCAGAAGTCACTCGGGCTCACAAATTTACTCAATGTGGCCCCTTACTAAGTAGAGATCTGAAACTTTACAGTTTCTTATGACTCTCACACAATAAAGAATCTATCCAACTGCACACACACACACACACACACACACACACACACACACGGAAGTACAAAAGTAATAGATTCTTTATACTTTGTAACTGATTTGATCTTTCCCTCTAGTTACTATTCATAAAGATGGCAGAAAAGAGTCACTTTGAGATATCACAGACTTTGCCAATTTGAAAATCTTTAGTCATTCTCAGACTTTCAGGAAGATTCTTTCTCTTCAGAACGCTCCTGTTTCCCTAGATGGTGACAGGTGCGTGGAAAACTGCTTCTGTAAAGTATAGCAGGGAAAAGCTTCAGGCCTTCATGCTTCCACTTGGTATTTCTGGATCTGTTGCATGCTGTGTCAATTTCAACATAACCCAAGGTCTTCTCTTGCCCAACAAGCCTCTTAACACATCTGCAATCCCAGTGCCAAGTCTAAGCATGCTCAGCTGTTCCCTCTGCCACCATATTAATATTACAATCACGCACACTGTCCTCCCATTCCCCCCTCCTCCAAAACATGCATGCTAAATTTCTTCTTCCACCATATCTATCTTTCATCATACCAAATTGTTTTATTGTGTTCCCTGCTCCCTGCCCCTACACACACACACACACACACACACACACACACACACACACCAACACACCCCTGCGAATGTAAACTCAATAAAGCAAACCCTGGATATTTTATTTACTCTCTCATCCCTAAGACTTACAACAATGCCTGGTAGTCATGGATACCCTTTCAGTGTTTTAATATTTGTTGAATGACTGAGTAACTAATTGGCTGCAGAAAGAGATCTAACTCCTGGTAACGTGTCCCAAGTGTTCCCATATTAGTTACACTTGGGCAGCAAGGAACCCATATCTGCCAGACAAATTAAAAGAGAGGATACCTATTAGTTTTTCCCATAAATGAAATCCACTAAACCTACCTAAGGGTGGCCAGCAATGTGGCTCAGTTGATTTAGCCAGCACCTGAGATGCCAGCACCCTATATGAGTACTGGTTCAAGTCCCAGCTGCCCACTTCCAATCCAGCTCCATGATAATGCACTTGGGAAAGTAACAGAAAATGGTCCAAGTACTTGGGCTCCTGTACCCATGTTGGAGACATGGATGAAGCTCCTGGTCCCTGGCCTAGGCCTGGCCCGTTAATGGCCACTGAAGCCATTTGAGGAGTGAACTAGCAAATGGAAGATTTCTCTCGTGTGCTCTCTTTGTGTGTATGAATGTGTGTGTGTTTGTCCTTTGTCTCTCTCCTTTAACTCCATATTTCAAATACATAAAATCTTTTAAAAATAATAATAATAAAAAATAAAACCCTGCTGCTTAGGGCAGACTCAACCATGAGGTGCATGAGGCCACATCAGTTCTGAACTCTGTACAGTAATAGTAAGGTGTTTGAGTGGCTACCTCCCCACTGTGACATGCTGCCCCACCCAATCCTATGTCAATAGAAGAGTCATGACCTCTCACACATGAAAGGTTCCGAGATTCCTTCGGATGATTCCAGTACAGAAAGACTCTTCAGAAGCTGACTGACTAGGGCAGAAGCAGGAAGACACTACACATCAGAAGGGAGGTGAAATAATAGAAAAATAGAGACTAAGGACAGAGACAAAGAATTTTATTCTACTTGGTGTTAATATCCCTTTAATACCATCTACTTTCATTTCTAAAAATTCCTCTAGATTACAAGAAGGTGATTATTTTTCATGGCGGTTATCTACCTATATCCATGTCTATAGAGCCCAGAGCAAAAAAGGGTTTAAAAACAGTTGATGACCTCTATTTCTTCACACTCCCTTATATTAATTTTCAAAGATTTTTGAGTTGGTAAATCCTCTCTGAATACATCAGCTACAAGCTCACTTTGAATTGTTCAATATTATCCTTGTATTGTTAGTGAAATACAATCAGATAGAATTGAGAAAAAAGCTGGGTTTAATTATAACCAAAATGTGGGCTGAAGGGAGCAGTCAATTTCTGTTTTTAGGGTTTCTTGGCTACTTTGTGCTTCATGAATGCATCCATTTCCCTAATTCATTAGATATTTCTCTGTGGTATTTTAGGGACTTCATGATGGAAGAATGCAAGGAAGATCAGCTGGATTTTGAGTAAGTAAACATAATTATAGAAAGCTGTTTCTATGGAACAAGGTGTTAGATCTACCCTTCCCTTATTCTCCAGTCCTCCTCTCCCTTTCTATTACATCTGTCACTCCTCCTACCTGCTTCCACAAGCATTTATTTTTTTTTAAAAGATTTATTTTTATTATTTTTTTTTATTGGAAAGGCGGATATACAGAGAGGAGAGACAGAGAGGAAGATCTTCCATCCGATGATTCACTCCCCAAGTGAGCACAACGGCCGATGCTATGTCGATCCAAAGCCAGGAGCCTCTTCCAGGTCTCCCACGCAGGTGCAGGGTCCCAAAGCTTTGGGCTGTCCTCGACTGCTTTCCCGGGCCACAGGCAGGGAGCTGGAAGGGAAGCGGGGCTGCCGGGATAGAACCGGCACCCATATGGGATCCCGGGCGTGCAAGGCGAGGACCTTAACCACTGTGCCACCGTTCCGGGCCAAGCATTTATTTTTTAATATCATCCTTCATTTTTACCCCTTCCACTCCCCAAAATCTTTTGCTCTTACCACTTTATTTTTAGTTAATTAATCCAAAGACAAATTAATGAATTTATTTATATGCAAGAAAAAGAAGCTTCTTGAGAGTCAGCCATATGCCAGGTATGCTTTCTAGTCTACACTAGGCTTATCATAATTTCATTCAAATTTAATTCTGAAAAATATGATTGCTTCTGTGGATGCTCGGCCTGGAGGATAACTGCATGACAGGGAGTAACTGTCATGATGAGGCCTCAAACTTTGAAACAGACCAGCAGAGAAGCACTGGAGCAGGAAATGCTGGAACCCTATCATACTGGTAGAAATCTCTCATGCCTCTGCATGAAGCCAAGCCCGATCAGAAATGAAAGTCCATTCCCTAGATAAACATATTCAATAACCGTACATTCTATGAGTAAATTTAGTGAACAACTTAAGAAAAAAAGTGTTAAGAAAACAATTCTTGGGCCTGGCATGATAGCCTAATGGCTAAAGTCCTCACCTTGAGTGCGCCGGGATCCCATCTGGACACGAGTTCATGTCCCGGCAGCTCCACTTCCCTTTCAGTTCCCTGTTGTGTCCTGGGAAACCAGTCAAGGACAACACAGAGCCTTGGGACCCTGCACCCCCGTGGGTTACCTGGAGAAGGGTCCCAGCTCCTGGCTCTTGGTTTCAGATCAGCTCAGCTCAGCTCAGCTCAGGCCATTGTGGCCACTTGGGGAGTAAGCCAGTGGATGAAAGACCTTTCTCTCTGTCTATCCTTCTCTCTGTACATCTAACTTTCCAATAAAAATAAATAATATAAATGTTTAAAAAGAAACAATTCTCTTCAATGCAAAGAAATATTTAAGGGAAGCAAAGCTTCTCATAAAACCAGAGTGAAGGATCATTATTATATGGAGCCCTCTGGAGGGAACATCATGGGAAAAATTTGCCTTACCAAGTTGAGACCTATCGACACAAATTATTCAGCATGGTTAACAAGTAATATTTCTCAAGAGTGAAAAAAGAAAGGTAAGCTCTGAGGAAAACCAGAGCTAATGAATGATGTTTATTCTAGATATTCCCTTAGACACAATGGTTACTGTGCTCAAGATAACTGACCCTTGTTCATTTTGGGGGCTGGATCTGTAGGTCAGAGAAAATGGAAATCTTAAGATTGGCCCAGTCAAAAAAGAATATTATCAGTCTGAACATGGACCTTGAAAAGGATATGCAGAGAATAGATGAAGCAAATCAGGAACTTCTCCTCAAAATCCATGAGAAAGAAAGTGAGATCCAGAGGTGAGTATGCTGGTTTCATGACAGAAGCTCCACATCCAAAGGCAGGAGTGACAGAAGAGACTAAAACTCACTTAGTTTTCTTTTAGAGATTTATTTCTTGTGTATCAGGAAATTTCTTAATTTTTTGTCATTTCTCTGTGACTCCAAAGCTGAACATAGCAAATTTCAAACAGGTCCCTAGAAAACTGGATAATACTCAACTGAGTAGACAAAACACTGGGTTTCTTGTCTTGAGAATCAGGCATATTTAAACTTTTGGTGTCTCTGACATGTTTCTAATTCTGTGGATCCAGTAAAGAAGGGCTTCCAAGCTGAATCTTAAGAGTATTTCCTTTGAACTACCCTTACAACTGATATCTGTGTTTTATCAGTTCTGAAAGTGCCCATGATGGGTCCTCATGGAGCGTGCTTGTGTCACCCAGGCTGGAAAATGAGATCATGCAAATTGGAGACTCAGCAGAAGATGAGGAGTGGGAAAAGGAGAACTGTACCACCATGGAAAGGGAAAGAGCCTTGCAGGAATTGGAAGAAGAAACATCCAGACTTGTAAGTGAAGAGCTGCGGAGAGCTATTTAATAGATTCTACTCCCCATCCTGTCCCTCAGCAACTTTCAGATAAGTTGGTCTTGTCCTTTTTACATGAAAAAGTAGTCAACTCAAAAGTAGTAACAGAATGCGTCCATGCATGCAAGAGAAGGAATGGAGCGCAAGGTTACTTTGATAATATTTAATACTGAGAAGTTACACAAGCAGGCACCTATATCCTTTGTATGTGTGCACGTACTGAAATCAAACTACAGGTAGATACATATGACATTATGTAAGTAAGGTAGAGTTCTTGTAGGAAAATCTTACTGAGATGATATGAGCAATTGACTAAAAGCAGATGACAGCATCCAGACATATTCTATTCTTTTTGTCCACAGGAAAGGAAAAATGAGACTCTGGTCCACAGCATAACAGAGCTTCAAAGAAAGGTAGGTTAGGGCTTTTGTGTTGCTGCAATAGCCCCAATTATTGAAAAGACAAAGGTGGAAAACTGACCACAGAGAAAGCCATATGTAAGAGAGGTCTATATTTGGAGTGGATACTGCTCTCTGACCCATTCTACTGGGACTAAGCTCATAAAGACTATGCCACGAATTTTCTCTGCAAATAGAATTTGAAAATACTGGACGAGGTGTTCAGTGATCCCCTAACTTCCTCTTCCAGTTGTGAGCAAACGAATTTCAACAGATGCTCTGTTGAAGTGACAGATTGGGATTTTGGTGGTGGTAGGTTAATTTCTGCCTTGTCCAGGCAAAAATTTCTTCTACCTTGACCTCTCTTCAGAACACAGTGGACTTCCTATGATTAATCCACTGTCTACGATTCTACACTTGATCTTAGCCAAAAGGCAGAGTAGTGATCCACTCTATGATTAAACCACTATCTGACCCAGTCATGCAACCCGTAGTAACCCAGCACAGATAAGATTTTCAGAAAAACATGCCTGCCTTGAATGAACTCTAATCTGGTGGCTAAGACTAGGAAGAAAATGAAGGTAGAACAAGGAAGCTTCCACCCAGGGCACCAACTATCTGCCAAGTTCCTGGTGGCTGCTATCCACACCACATTTACTGATTCCCTACATACCAGAGAATTTTTCCTCCTGTAATTTTCTTATTCTATGTATTTTTATTTGAAACTATAGCTTACAAGGAAATCTCAAAAGATAACCATGAGTGAACAAGGCAATCTAGATGGAACCCCTGAAGAGTCGAAGGTAGAGTCAAAAACAATCTTGAATGGGCTGTAGTCTATGTTACCAGAAACAAACTGTCAGGTTGGGAACAACTGTCAATATTGAGATAAATTTCTTCATAGTTTTCAAATAGGTCATGCTTACACCTCAGCAACTGAGAGCTAAACACGCCTCTGCTCTTAATAAATAAGGAATTTCATTCTGAACTAAATTTTTTCTTCTCTCTTACTAAGAACAGGGTAAAACTGTGTATCATGTTTCTGGTGATCAGAATCCCTAGTTTAAATTCTGGCTTTAAGACATAATTTGGTGTGTAAAGTGGGACAATATCACCATTCCCTCCAAGCCACAGTTTGAAGTCTATGGAGAAAATGTATATAAAATATTATTTTCTCTTTTGAATGACTAAAACCTTATTATAAAGTTTATTTCAAAGTCTGGCTGAGGTGTATGCATGAACAAATAGTGAGACAATTGTAAGTTTTTTATCTATTAGATAATTCAGATCTGTCATTGAGTTCAGTGTAGAAAACAATTCCTTTAATTAGTAACTCAGAATTTAGTGACATCTACCTACTTAAGGTACTTAGCATTTCTCTGTGTTCCAGAACGAAGGATCTGGCTCCATGTACATCCTCCATGATACAAAAAAAAAAAAAAGAAAGAAAGAAAGAAAGAAAGAAAGAAAGAAAGAATTTTAGTATTTGTTTTTATTTAGGGAGCAGGAAATTCGTTATCAATCCCTTCTCCAGAATCACATCGTTGTCTTTCCCTTACCTAACACAAACTGGCCTTCTAAAGCCCCCATTTTTTTTTAATTTTGAATTTTATGGTACGGTTCCATAGGGTGTGGGATTTTTCCACCCCTCTCCACAAAGCTCCTACTATTGTTTCTGTATGATTCCTCAAAAGATTTGGGTATGCTGAAAATAGAAATAGGAAATGAAAGTATGAAGGAGCTATTCCCTTAACTTGTGCTGGCCCACAAACATGAGGGTCAAAGGTATGAAGCAAGCTTGAATGTCTGTGTGTTCCTTCAGGAAGCTTATCTGGAAACAAAGAAATTAGGATCCTGACATAGATCAGGAAGAAACGTGAGTTACATCTAGCAAAGATTAAGACCCTTTATTACACAGCCATGACTGCAGTGGCCCAGAATCAGATCTATTTTCCCTTTTCTTCTTACTAAAAAAAAAAAAAAAAAAAAAAGATTTTTTTTTTTCTGAAGGCAAACCCATCATTAATGAGTGGTGATACTTTAAATTTGTTCACAGATTAACATCTAGATAAAGTCTGGCTTACCATCTATGTAAGGTGAACTCAAGTGATAGGGTCCCAGCATTTGTCCGAATCATGGAAATTATTTTACTGACAGCAGTCAGCTCAGGTCCAAGGAATTACAATGCATTATTAAATCACTGAACTGCTCTGTTTTGCTCATATGTTTTACAAAATTCTCATGTGATATCTCTAATTCTGTGAAGTACATAGTATCATCCTTGCTTTGTTTCTTTCTGTATATTGTCAATCTTTTTCATTGCATTAAAGAGTGCCTGCTTCCACCGCTTGTCATTCACACCATTGGCTTCAAAATACAGCACTTAGCACTTGGGGCTGGACCAGATCTGGGTGTAATTTATTGAACTAGGTAGTAACTGTATAGAGTCCAGATGTGAAATAAAGGTATCTAGATGAAAGTGGAGACAACAGAACATAGAACGCCAAGAAGGCTGTTCATGTGTGCTCCACCTCCAGAATATACTCGAATGTATCAATTCCTCTCCATTGCTATCATTGTTACCTTTTTCAAGCCACCAGAACCTCTCATCTGTACAACTTCAGCAGCATCTATCTAGTATCGCTGTTGCTATCTTTACTCTCAATCTATTATCGATACACAGAAATGAATTTTCTTTAAAATCACAAAGCAGATTGTGTCTTGATACTTCAATCCCTCTCCAGGCCAAAATTGTAATAAAAAGCTCAACACTTTCTAGCTGCTGCAGGTCCCTGCATAATCTTATCCTTGTCTACCCTTCAGCCCTCATTACTTCTCTCCCAGTCTTCCCAGTGCTCCAGTAACACATTTTTTTTTCCATACACAGCAAAGTTATTTTCATTTATGGTCATGACCTTGGCTAAAACTTCCCCCTTCCATTTAGCTAGTATTTATCTTTTAGGTTTTGGTTTAAGTATCACCTCATGAGAAAATCTTTTGCCAGCCACCTACCACCACCTCTCACATCAGCCTTGTACACCACCACTACCATCACTCATTTTATTTCCCTCATGGAATAATCGTGTTGAATTGTGAGTGACTTCCCACAATTGGAACATCAGCTCTGTGAGCACACAGGGGCTCACAGACATTTCAATATTGTATGCTCAGTACCGTGCTTTCCCTGCTTGGTTCCAGTAAAAGAGCAGATACAGAACAATCTTTTACCAACACTTTAAGGACACAAAAAAGGAAGAATATGCAGGGGGGGGGGGAGGAATTAGCAAAACCCTTGGAATCTGTAACAGAAAAGGATAATATTTATTTATTAAATAAGTTAAGATTTATTTACTTTTTTTTGAAAGGTAGATTTTTACAGAGAAAAATGGAGAAATGGAGAGAGAGAGGTCTTCCATTCACTGGTTCACTCTCCAAAAGGCTTTAACAGTCAGAGCTGAGATGATCAACCAGTGCTTATTTGAGATGCCAACATGGAATATGAAGATTAGCCTGGTGTAACACTCTGCCAGCCCCAAGAGTGAGCATTTTCAAGACTTATGTTAGTTTTATGGTAAATGGTTACATAAAAGAGAAAATATATGAATTTAGGTTTAGGGGTGATGGTAGCACGAAATGAATGCTTGCAAAGTATAGAAAAGTAGGTTTATAAAGCTGCTACCAAAGGTACAAACTGATTTATCTCCTCCCTCAAAAAGACATCTGTTAGTGAGGCCTGTGCATTTCAACAGCCACCAGATAGTCTTTGAGATAGCATTCCTTGTAGGTTCACCTTGCTGAATTACTGGTCTCATTCCTTTCTTATAGGCTAAATTACAGCAGCTGGAAGCTTCCTGTGCAGACCAAGAGAAAGACTTGGTCAAGGTAAGAACATAACCTCAATACTATTTCTCCTGAAGAAAGGTAAACTGGATCTTCAGCCAAATAATCTAAATTCAAATGACTGACTGATAATAAGGTTCAAGATCCAAGATGATTGTGGGGTTGGAAAAGGAATAAAACCAAAGGAGAACATAATCCCCCTACATTACCTCCTCGTTAACATTCTGTGCAGGTTATTTTCTATAATGCATATCTTCTACACAGTGTTTGCCCCTCTCCCACTTGCCCCCCAAATAATTCTCATTTGAAGTATAACATATGGGTTATTGACCCTTAAAAGAGAAAGAGAGAGCACAAAATAAATTCATATAGCACAAAACATATTTTGAGAAAACCACATATGGTCTGGGACACACAGGAGAAAACAAATGTGCTATCTTAACAGCAATTTACTGACAGCATTTTCAGAACAAATTTTTGGGTTCTAGGTAATGGAGGACTTTACATTTGTGGCCCAGCTCTGTGAAGACCAAGCTATCTGCATAAAGGTACAGATTCTTCGTAAAGGGATAGAAAAAGAGTTTGTTAAGGTACAGGAGGAAATGAAAACAAGATTGTAAAAAGAATATTGGATAAATCAATTTCAAGTCCTCCAGATATCTCTGTAGAGACTTCAAGGTCATCAATACTCCCATCACAAAGATTGCTCTATCCCTGGAAATGATTGCCCTGACTTCCTAATCTTTGTGCTTTAAAAGTAATAGTAAATACTTCTGATGTTGATAATCCCAATTTCTCCCGGAAATCTCTCCAATTGTGAGACATAGTAAGAGAGCAGGAGGGGTGGTGAGTGGGGTCTATTAACATATGGAGCACATTCATGATGCTTTATAAGAAAAGGTATGTGTCATGCATAGAAAAAAATCACAAAGCTTCTAAATAATAATTGTGCTTCCTTTATTTTGCTTTGAAGAGGTACCAAGAAACTTTGCGGAAAATACAAGAAGAACTAGAGACTCGGTTCCTTGAGAGAGAAGTGTGAGCTTTGGCAAACAAAGGAACATCCTGGTTTTAGTGGTAACTCCATCTCAGCCTGAGTCAGAGCAAACCTTTCTCAGACCAATTCCTTTCTAGAACTGAACAAGTCCAACATCATATTTTTTTTCTGTGTTACTAATCTGGTTGAATCTAACACAATCTTGATTATCACAATCTTACAATGACAAAGCCTTTCTCCCAGCCTTTCTAAAAGACTTCAGAAACACGTCCCCGTTTATAAACCATCAAATTATAACAGCATTTTTAAAGGTTTACTTGCTTGAAAGAGTCCCAGAGAGATGTAGAGACAGATAGAGAGAGATTTTTCCATCCACTGATTCACTCCCTATATGGCTGCAAGGGCCAGCAATGTGCCAAGTCAAAGCCAAGAGCCAGGACTTCATTCACATCTTCCACCTGCATAGCAGAAGTACAAACACTTACGTCATCCTTTGCTACTTTTCCCAGACATGATCTGGGTACCGGATCAAAAGTGAAACAGCTAATATTGAAATCTGTGCCCATATGTCACAGGAAATGGATTTTTACCCTATACACCACAATGCTGACCCACATTTTCATATCATTATGTAGGTTTATATTAAGGGAAGAAACAGGTACTTTAAAAAGAACTAGTTGTCAAGAACTTGATCAGTAGAGAATTCTTTATACCTCATTGAAAAGTCCTAAAACCCATATCTTTCTTACTTCTCTAAAATATACAGAACACCAATCACATGGGTAAGCATGAAATCAACATATATACACAATACAGCTAACAAATTATGAAACTCTGAAAGTAAAGAAAAAAGCTTCCCCCTAAAAAAAGTCCCTGTTTTTTGTCAAGACTGCAAATGGTCAGAAGCCAAAACCAAAAACCTTGTCACCATTATCTGATCCTCGCTTTCAGGATATGCATACATATAACTATATATAAGTTATATCTTAGGAAATAATTATTTAATATTTTAGAATTTTGAAATTAAGAATAAGAAACTAAAGCCTCTAAGTGAGCCAACTATGAACTGTGGCCTGGATCCGGGGTATTGGTGCTTTGAGATAACACTAGTTAGACACAAGTTTATCAAGATCCCAGTAAAGCATTAAATTATGGCTTGACTGTTAAACTAAAATTCTAGAACAGGCTTGCCCAGTAGAATTCCTTGTATTATAAAATAGGTATCCATTAAGTATATGTGACCACTAGGTACTAGAAAGATGGCTACTGCAATTGAGGAATTTAATTTTTATTGATTTCTTTAAAAATATTTCTTGTATTTAATTGCTTGGAAAGCAGATTGGCAGAGAGAGGGGCATAGAGAGAGAAAGCATCAATCCACTAGTTCATTTCCCAATGGCCTCAACAGCCAGGGCTGGACTAGCACAAAAAGAAGAGCCAAGAATTCCCCTGGGTCTCCCATATTTGTGTTAGGAATCAAAATAATTGGGCTTTCCCAGCACATTAGCAGGAAACTAAATCAGAAGTGGAGCAGCCAGGAATCAAACCAGTACTATAATATCAGATAATGGATTGAAAATGGTGGCTAAACCCATATTACCACAACACCAGCCCCTGAATTTTTATTTTAAATAATTTACATTTAAATAAATACAGAGAGCCCGTGAATACAATTTTGAACAGTGCAACTCCAGAATATAAAACTACTTTTAAGTATACTGTTTTTGAATATAAATTACTCGTTCCTTATTTGTGTTCTTTTCCCTTTAGATCAAAAGTCTTGAGCATGAATTCTGCAAGAAAAGAGTGTAGCAGCCAAAGCAATGAGGTAATTCCACTCTTTCTTCAGATTCCCTCAGTGAGATCAGCAATTTCTAGACCCAATCCTACTTCTTACTTTACTACAATTTACTTTGCTATTCAGCACATTAAAAGGGTAATAAAATAACAATAATAATACATAAAAACTTCTGTCATAAAAGTACATCTGCTTATGCACATTAGAATAATTATAAAAGGTTTTTCGACTATAACATGCCTAGGAGCTTACTAAATAGTATTTGACAGAGATGATACTTTCCAGGAATTGCTCATTTATCAATGTCTTTTTTTCCTCTCCCAGGGTAATTCTAATGGAAAGAGGGTAATACAGTTTGGTAAAAGGTGAGTAAAATATCTTGGGATAAACTTCCTGAAAAACTAAGCATTCTACTAAGCCATGCTGGCAGAGCATAAAATCCAGTCAAGGAGAACCTTATTCAAACTCTGTCTCTCACTCTTCCTCTCTCTCCATCCCTCAGGTGTGTGCACGCACACAGAAGCAGGTTCAAGTCATGTCTAAGGACAATTCATAATCTCGATTTTCCAGTATCAGAAGTCAATAGCCAGTAGTAACAAGAAACAAAAGTTTATAATCTAAAAGAGATGTGACAAATTTCAAAAAGTTTCCTTTAACCACTTGAATTCTGTTAATGTGTATAGTTTCCCAGTAGCATCAGCAGATTAGAAATTGGGAGTGAATTGCTAGAATAAAAAATTTCATTGCCTAACAGCATATAGAAGATTAAAAAAAAAAAAGTCATTGTGAAAAAAGCCACCTAACAGTATCCAGCTCACAAAAATTGTTCAAAAAATACTTATTAAACAGAAAGAGAACTCAAGTATAAAACACCCAAGTGGATATTAGTCCTGGGGGATCAGTGTGATAGCAAAGTATAATTAATATTCATGATACCCTGGATGTTCAGAAAAAGGTCATATTGTAACACAACCTGTTTAAGAAGGCATAAAGAAATATATATATATTCAAAGTGGTATGAAATACAATTTAGAAATGATTCCATCAAAATGATTCCATCAAAATGATTTCATCAAAAGGATGAAATTATTGGTGCTTAAAGGTAAAACTTGGTGTAAGGAAAATAGCCTCTTCACACTACATAAATGAAGTATTTCATATTTTGTTATCACTAAACACAATGTTCTTGAAATGACTAGCAGTATTTTCTTCAGGACCCCTAGGCTACTCTTTTTGACCTCTTTTAACAGCAATGTCCAGTAAATAACGTGCTGTGATTGCCCAGCAAAAGGGTTCTCTGCCTTACTAACAGGTGGCATCCTGAAAGGAAGGAGCCTGACAAAAAATATCATATAAATCTAGCTCTTCCTTTCAAACCCCAGGTGCCTTTCCCCTTGTTCTGCTCCAATTATCCCATGGAGCCCTGGTTTATTGGCAGTAACTCAAGAAATTAAAAGGCTAGGTCACTCCTGGGATTTTCCTGGGAATGAATATTATGTAATATTTAGTATATTATATTGGTCACATAACATACACATTTTATCCAGTTTTAGAGAAACTAAGAGGAAATGGTTTGTAAGAGGTCACTGTTTATAATTCTTTTTTACTTTTTAACATTTTAAACTTTTTCATTCCATTTAATTTTTAATTAAAATCAGATTCAATGTGAATTTTAGATACAATTCTAAGAACAAAATGATATTCCTTTCTGCCTTCCTTCCCACTCATTCCTTTTCCATTTCTTCTCTTTTTTGTTAACCTTCTGAAACAACATACTTTAAATTTATATGACACTAAAAAAGCTTAATACTTCACTGAATAAGGAGTTTAACAAGTCAAAAAGCAACAACACCTATCTTTAGTGGGTATACAAAGTCTATAAACAATCATTGAGTAGGAAAAAGGACGATTTCACTCATATACAGAAAATTTTAAATTACACATCATTAAACTATAGTATTAACATTCTTAATGATTGGTTTGACAAAGGCATAAAACAAAGTTTTACAAAACTGAATTTACAAATGTGGACATCTCTTTCCTTCTGCTTTTTTGTTTTTAAATTTTAGCTCCCACATATTAGAGAGCATGTAATGTTTGCCTGTCTGTGTCTGCCTTGTTTCATTTAGCACGATGAGCTCCAGTTGAGTCCATTTTTTTGGTACATGACAGAATTTAATTTCTTATTTAATGACTGAATGATATACCATGATGTATGTATGCCAGATGTTCTTTATCCATCCATCTCGTGATGAACAACACCATAGTTGATTGTAAATCAAAGTGGTTTACAGTATGGTTTAGGTATCTCTTTAATTCATACTCAAGTCTTTTGGGTAGAAACCCAGTAGTGGGATTGCTGGATCATACAGTAGGTGTATTTCTAGCTTTTAAAGAATATCCATGCTGCTTTCCACAGTGGCTATACTAATTTGCATTCCCACCAACAGTGTATAATTTTTTTCTCCACCCCCTCTCAGCATTTGTTACTCTCTCTATTTCGGATTTTAACCATTCCGACAGGAGTGAAGTTATTTCTTACTGTAGTTTTGATTTGCATTTTCCTAATGGCTAGTGATCTTGAGCATTTTTCATATATTGGCCATTGTATTTCTTCTTTTAACAACTGTCAATGTCCTTTGTCCATTTCTCAGTTGGTTTGGTAGTTTGTTGCTGCTATTGTTGTGAAGTGTTTTAAGTTGCTAATATATTTAGTATAAAAGTCCTTTGTCATATAGGTATTTTACAAATATTTTCCCCCTTTGGTTGGATGTTTCTTCACTTCATTATTGTTTTCTATGCAAAAGCTTCTGAGTTTGTATAGTCCCATTTGATCAGCTTTGTTATTGTTGCCTTTGCTTTAGGGGTTTTATCCAAGAAGTTACCCCCTCCACCAACACCTTGGAGCATTTCCTCTGTTTTCTTCCACAGTGTCACAGTCTCAGGTCTCAAAGTTAGGTTTTTAATTCACATTGAGCTTTTTTTTTTTTTTTTTAATAGTGGGAGGTATATTGCTTTTGTGGTATCCCACAGGTTTTGACATGCTGTGTTTCTATTTTCAATTATGTGAAGCAAGTGTTTGATTCTTTTTCATTTTCTCAGTGACCCATTTATCATTCATTAGCATGTTGCTTACTTTTTAAGTATTTGAGTGCTCCCTTGGTGTTCTTGCTTTGATTTCTAGTTATAGCTGTTATGATCCAAAATAAATAGCATGATTTCAATATTTTTATGTTTTCAGAGACTTGATTTGTGGCCTAATATGTGATCTATCGAAGAAAATGTTCCGTGTGTTACTGAGAATAATGTATATCTGAAGCCCTTGGGTGAAATGTCCTATAAATGTCTATTAGGTCCATTTGCTTAACAATATGTTTCAATTCCAATTATACTGATTTTTTTTCTGTCTGGATAAGCTGTCCATTGAAGAGAGTGGGATGTTGAAAAATCATCCACTATTGTTGAATTGAAGTCTGTCTCTCCCATTAACTCTAATAGTATTTGTTGCGCATGTTTGATTGGAGATATATATATATATATACACATATATACACACACACATATATATACACATACATACACACACATATATATATTTGCTAGGTATTCCTGCTGAATTGAATTTTCTATATTATAATGTCCTTCTTTATCTCTTTTTATAGGTTTTGATTTGAAGTCTGTATTATCTTGTATCAGGATAGTTATGCCTGCTTGCTTTTGTTTTCCATTGGCCTGGTATATCATTATTGCAATCCTGTACTTTCAGTATGTATGTATCTTTTTTCCAAAGTGAGATTTTTATAGGCAGTGTACAGTGGGGTCTAGGTTTTTGTTTGTTTGTTTGTTTGTTTTTTTATCCATGCAGCCAGCCTAACTTTTGGTTGGTAAATTTGATCCATTTACATTCAAAGTTAATATTGATATATAAAAATCAAAGGCTTGTCACTTTGTTGACTGGATAACAATTCTACCTGCTCTACTGGTGAGGTTGGAGGTGACATTTGTTTAATATTTAATTCTAATGCAGGCCATCCTTCAGAATTTCTTGTAAGGCTGATTTGGTTGTGGTGAATTCTCAGCGTGTTTGCTTATCTGAAGAATATGTTACTTCTCCTTCACTTTTAAGGGGTCACTTAACTATATATAATATTCTTAGTGAAAAGTTTTTTCTTTTGAGGACTTGAACATATCATTCTACTCTCTTCTGGCCTGTAGGGTTTGCACTGAGAAGATGAATGTTAATCTGATTAGTTTTCTGATGCTTTTACTGTCTGTCTTTAGAATTCTGTCTTTAATATTTGATGATAATATGTCTTGGAGAAAACCTTTTTGATTGTGTCAGCTTTTACCTTCTTTCTATCTGGATGATTATGTCTCTTTTCAAGACCTGGGAAATTTTCTCTACTATTTTCTTTGGTTGGTTCTCAATGCCTTTTTCATTTTCTTTTTCTTCAGAAATGTCTATAACATGGATATTTGGTTGTTTAATGGTATCCCATATTTTATGTAGACATTCTTTATTCTTTTTTATTCTTTTGTCTTTACTTTTATATGATTGGGTTATTTCAAAATTCCTGTCCTTAAGGTCAAAAATTCCGTCTTTCACATGTATTATTCTGACGTTAAAATTCTCAATCACATTCTTTTTTCAGTTATTGAATATTTCATCTCCAAAACTTCTGTTTGACTCTTCTTACTGAGTTTTATTTTCTTAGTAACATCCATGTCCTGTATTGATTTCCTCATTTTTAATATGTGTACATATATTCTCTTGCACTTTGTTGAATTTCCCTATAATTATTACTTTGGCATGTTATAACATATAGATTTCCTTCAGCTCAAGTTCTAATTTCTAGATTATTATGTTCTTTTGGACGTGTCATGCTACCTTGCTTTTTTGTTTCTCCTGCTTTCCTACATTGCCATTTGCCCATCTGGTGTACTTGTGATGTGGACATATTTGAAAATCACTGACATTCAACAGAAAACATGAACATCTTTCCGGCCTTGGAGTAAGGATGGTTTTCAAACAGGATTCAGGATACATTGGTTCTAATTAAAGAAGATACTGGCAAACTGGACCTTTATAAATTAAGGATTATTGCTTTTTAGCATTTTAAAGCAAATGGAAATCACAAAGTTGGAGGAATACATAACTATACATAAAATGGGAAAGTATTAATAACAAGAACTTACAAAGAACTCCTATAAATCAGAAAGAAAAGCAACAACTATCTAGAAGGAAAATGGGCAAGATGATCAGATAAAGCCAATAAACCTGTGAACATTCAGCATCATTGTTCAGCAGGGAAATGTAAAATCAGGGTGGCAATGAGATATTACTTTAGATTCAGTTGACCAGCAAAGTTCTTTTAAAAATCCAAGAAAATCAAGTGTTGGAGAAGACGTGGCTCCCCAGAAACAGCTGCCTTGTTAGTGGGGTACAAATTGATGAACCATTTTGGAAAACAATTTGCCACAACTAAATCAAAAATAAGGGAATGAGATTGTTTTAGATAGTGATAAATACTACAAAGAAAAGAGTGATGGGGAGAGAATAAATGAGTGGTCAGCTCGTGGAATGAGGCTGCCTACATAAAGGGTGATCAGAGAATCAGACAACAATCAATGGGTGACATCTGAGTATCAAGAAAGAGCCAGATACGCATTCAGAAATCACTGAATACTACTAGTTCCCTATCCTCTAGCTAATTTTCTTGGCTTTCTCTTTCAGAATCTCCCGCTATGTCTTTTTCACCACCCTATTTTTCATCAGACTGCTTGGCTATGTGTTTTTCCACTTAAGTTTTATAAACCCAGATCTCCTTGTCAACATTCTGCCCAAGATACTGAACAGGGGTATCCTGTGGAAGCTACGATGCATCCTCTTCCCATCCCTCACACTTGAGACAGAGGACATGTTGCCTCATTGAGCCCCGACAAACGTCCTGAGCAGCAGAGGCGAGTGTAGAAGAGAGATGATTCTTGTGGAGCCAAGAGGATGTGTTCAGATTTCCCCTTAAGGTTTGCCTATCTGACCACTTTCCCTCTCCATGTCACCTTTCCAAGACTAACTTTGCCCAGTAAAGAGCTCTATCAATAGGTTTCTGTGCTTATATGGATAAACTGAACAGTGTCTGATAGTGAAACAATCATTTCTGAACTTATATAAATACCAAGAGAATTCAGAGTTGGTTCGTTATTCCGGTTACTCTCACGGGGCTAACATGTTGGATTCCTGAAACACGTAAGATTGCTCATTAGTTACATTAGGTATCACTTTCAGGGTATGAGTGACCTAAGCTTCAACACACACGCTCATAAAATGAAAAGTTCATGAGAAATACAGATCTGGGACTCAGGGCAATGCTGGTCCATATGCATCAAAGCAATGTCATTAACTCTTCCTCTTCTCTGTGGATGGGCATGGGCATTCTTGTTTAAGTCACAAGATAGCTAAATCTCATATTACCAGAGTAGCAATATCAGTTGAACAAAACAGTCTTTTCTAATAACTCCAGGTATAAAAGCTGGAGGACATAGACTGGTGTTTCTAAGCTCAGCTGTCTACTCCTGTCCCACAATCAGTGTGGCGCAAGGCAAGAGAGCACTCTGAAGAGGTCAAGCAGGAATTTTATCTCCAATACCTTGTTAAGGAACAGGGGAGGTGAAGGCAGAAGAAACAGATAAAGGCATTAACCCCATCTAAATTACACTGAGTGTGCTTTCCACAGAAGCAATGGCTCTGGTAACAGGAGAAAGAGAATAGGATTCTGGGTGGGCAAAAGCATATGCCCACTTAATCACTTAACTCCAGCAATTAAATGAATTTGTAAAGCTATACTTCATGTGTCATCTTCCTACCAAAAAAAAAAAAAAAGTTACTCCTCAGTTACTCCTCAAGATAACAGATTGAGATACTGGAAAACCACTGAAACAGTTCAGTGTACAAGACATATATAGTAAACAGGTATCCAGAGCTAAAGGATTCTCAAAGAAACAGCCTATGACTGATAAAAAATGCTTCATAAATTTGAGGTCACCTCTACATGGTCACACCTCTTACTCTTTCGATTAAAACTGCTGAGGAGCTCACATGCCTCATTAGCAGGATCTTTTCAAACTCCCTGTTATATTCTCCCTCCTTCCTAAATTTCAGGAGCCTTGACAGCTCTGAAGTCCAGAATAGGGTTCATCCTGGCTTCCACAGGAACTGGAACAAACCAACTCTGACCACTGCAATTGCACCTTAAGGCCACATGGTGTCACTGTTGAAAAGTGGTTTCACACAAGGTGATCAAATTATTGTGCAACCGGAGACAAAGAGACATTATAAAAAATTATTTCAAAGACTTTCAGAAAACCAGAATGTAAGCCTGCTCCACGTGTACTTCAAGATTCTGTTCACCCCCTGTATTTTGTTAAGGTAAGTAGCTCTTGTTCTTCAGAGTAAGGGTAGTCAAAGATGCTTTGTGTCCAGGATCCCAGAGCCAGACCTCACCCACACACTTCCTTACATTCAGATAATCTATATTCTGCTCCAGGATCCAGTTTCTAAAGGGTCAAGATCAATGCCAGTTTCTGCTTTTCCCTCCCTTGCTGCCCTCAGAAGCCCTTCTGTCCAGGAAGTCAGTTTGCTCCCCAAAAATCCACCCCTCCAGAGGCAAGGAACTGAGGGGTCTCTCCAAGGGAGTTTTGATGCATACACTCCCCCTCCTCAGCACTTCCCACTTTTCTTCTGGAAGTTCTGCCTGTGGAGAAATACCCATTATTTAGGTCAAAGGCAATGTTACAGCCACATTCACCTCTGTGGCCAACCTGGATCTTCTATGGTATTATCACCTGACTATGTGTAGCCCATATATATATGTACATTTCCAATCCCCTGTTTCTCACAGTGATGCATTCATGCTGCTCAGGATTCAAGAAAAGAGGGAGATGAAGGGGGAAAATGACATATGCCAAACCCCTGGTGCTGTATAATTTCTGGGGATGCAACAATAAATAAGACATAGAAATTATCCTTAATGCAGAGAGAAGGAAAGGAGGATATAGTACATGTACATCTGATGAGTCCTAACAAAATACAGTAATAACACGCCACCAATGCCCAAAGTGTCAGACCCATGTACTAAAACATTATTAGAGAAAATGAAAATGACATGTTACACTCTAAATGAGCTGACTAGCCAGATGCGAGTTGAGACTAGAGTCTAGGTGCAACAGGTGACTTTCCAGACCGTCTTAATAATCACAGACAGCTGAGCAGCTTCGGGCTGTTTCAGCCCAGCACTCCCTCAGCAATTGAGAGAAGCTGCGTGTGTTTCTCATACACGGCAGAGGGCACTGCTTCATGATGCATGCAGGATTTCCTCAGAAGTCTTTATACGTAAATTACAACACATCTGGATGCAAAACAGATGAGCCAAGCTCTGTAATAGCACACCTGTCCCATTTCATCAGGTTGGAGACTAGAGCCAGATTCAAACATCAAGTATATAGATGAAAAGGTATACGCATGCCCAATGTCCAGAGCTGAATCACTACCTACCATCGTGATTTGCCTAAAAGCTTGGGATTATGAGTCCTGAAGGGTTTCTTAATAAAGTCTCTGTATCTATTCCCACATTTTGATAAATCCCAAAAACAGATCTCACCTCACAATGATAAATATATTTAGAAAGATGATATATCCAATTCCCCTTCAGTCATATTGTTTTCCCTTTCTAAATTCTTCTCCCCTCCTACTTCTTCAATAAATCTACCTTAATTTTCCTCCACACGCGTAAAAAGTAAATTCTGAAAAACACTATCCAGAGTTAACCCATTCTCCCTATCAGAATGTATCTTTGATTCAGCAGCACCAAATTGTAGATGTGACCCATAAAGAACCCAGAGTTTGTTCTACTCCATACATGCAGGTGTTTAGCTGACCCACACAGAGCACAGCATGAGTTTTCCATGACATTTACTCAGCCTCCTTAGAACACACATTATTTAGAGAGTATAATTTCTAGTTATTGAGAATTCATCAGCTATCAGGTAATTCTGTGTTTTGTGTGCATCCATGTAATCCTGTTGAACACAGTCTTCCAAGGTTGATGGCATTCTACCCACTTTACAAATAAGGAGCTCAGGTAACACAAGTGAGGTTCTGAGTCGAAATAGGATGAGTGTCTGTCCATGTGTCTAAAGCCTGGCCTACAGAACTCAACGTTGCTTTGGATAGCATATGGTGACCAGCCAGTGAGAAGCTAGGACACAGAGTACAGGGACATTCACCCACCTGGGAAGGTAAACCCAAGCCTTATCTTCATTAATAGAATGAAGTACAAGGAAAATCTCAAAACTCCTGCAAAGAATTTAGAGAATCCTCATTCAAGCCCAATAAGATACTTTTCCAAGGTCATGTGACGAGTTTGTGGTAGAACCACGGTTAGAATTCAGTCTCCTGCATCATTTCTCAGTGACCCATCTATTAACATTTCCCAACTTTGTGCAGAAAACTGTCAGCAGTGAGGAGATTTTGCCACGATTGTGATTTCAAGCCAAAGTCAGCTGTACCCTCTGACATGAAAGGCATGAGGAAATAAAAGCCCACATTTCTCTCCTGTTAACAGGAGCGTAGGAAGGAAGAATGTTGACACATGGAGTAGGTCCACGATTCCTTTAATTGAGCACATTAATCTTGAGTTGCTCAATGTGTAACTAGAGAGTGTTGAGTGACAGACCTGAAATGCTTTTCCTAATAATACATCTTCATCACCTCGGGGATGCAGGGAAGCAGAAGAGAAGATGGAACAACACTGTAAGACACATCTAGGCTGGTGGAAACAAAACAGGGACTTTTAGAAGGGCCAAAAAGCTAAAATCCAATTTTACAATATGTTCTACTAAGATATATACTTCTACATAGTCATTTTGACCTTAAAATCCACCATACATAATTGTAGAAATGTGTGTCTATGAACTGCCTCGTTGGTACCTTGAATGTATCTGCCGTTCCAAAATTCAAATGGTAAAACAGTTGGACATGGCTCAATGGTTCATTTGGCTAGTCTTCCCCCTTGCAAGTGCCAGGATCCCATATGGGTGCCAGTTCGTGTCCTCGCTGCCCCACTTCCCATCCAGTTCCCTGGTTGTACCTGGGAAAGCAGAAGAGGATAGTCCAAAGGCTTGGGATCCTGTAACCCATTGGGAAGACACAGTGGAGATTCTAGCTTCAGATTAGCTCAAGTCCAGCCATTGCATCATTTGGGGAGTGGACCAGCAGATGGAAGATCTTTCTTTCTCTCCTCTGTGTTAAAATTTGCCTTTCCAGTAAAAATCTTTAAAAAAAAAAAAAAAAGGTCTCCAAAGTGACACAGTGTAAGAGGTAGGATCTTTGGAAGGTGCTGGGTCATGAGGCTTCACCCTAATGAACAGGGTTAATGCTCTTATAAAAAAAAAAACTTTAGGGGCCAGCACAGTGGCACAACAAGCTGCTACTCCACCTAGCAGCACCAGCATCCTATAAGGGCACCAGTTCATGTCCCAGCTACTCTACTTCTAGCTCTTTTGCTTATGCCCTGGGAAAGCAGCAGAGGATGGCCCAAAGCCTCAGGACCACATGGGATACCCAGAAGAAGCTCCTGGCTCCTAACCTCATTAGTTCATCTCTGGCCACTAGGGTCATTTGGCGGAGTGAATCAGCAAATAAAAGACCTCTCCATCTCTCCTTCTCTCTCTGCAAAATCTGCCTTTCAAATAAAAATAAATGCTTTAATTTTTTGGGTTTTTTTCTCTATGAAAAATTTATTTTGCATAATATTTGGTATATTTTATTTCTTGTTAAAGTAGAAACAGTTTTAATCGAATTTAGGGTATCTTTGAGCTCTTTTTCTCTTTCCTGCCTTGCCTCCCTCTCCATTCCTACTACTCTGCTTTTTTAAAAAAAGAACATGTTGACTAACCTTGTGATTATTTTTATGCATAAACTCATAAGCTATATAGAAAAGATTGGAATTGCAAACCAAAGTTTAATAACAGTTTTTAAAATTTCCCGTATACTCATCTTTTACTGGGATCTTTTTTCTATGCAATGGCTTCAAGTTGTCTTCT